GGAAACTATAAAGCATTTTGCAATGAGAAGTGTTATCATCATTATCGTTATTTTGACTTTCTCAGCAATCCTCTGAGGGCACTAGATAGAGTAAGTCGACCCGTTTCCAAACAAGGAAATTGAAGCTCATAGGAGTTAAATGACTTGCCCAAGGTCACACAACTATGAGGACCAGCATTCTCATCACAGCTATGAAAAATTGGGTGGAGTTTAGCTGGTGAACACAAAGGTTTTAGACTTTTTTAGATCTTGTGCTTTGGAAGTGCTTAAAATCATGAGACTGTACAAATGGAAAAGTTAGGCATGCCTTTAGATGCAGTCAAGAAAGACTCTTACCCAGGGGCCCTGTGTGTTAATTACAAGGATCAGCCAACTTAACCAAATACAGCCTACTTAGGTTAATAAAGTTTTATTAGAACACAGTCACACTCATTCATTACAGGCTGTGTTTGGCCCCTTTTGCACTATGATAGCAGAGTTGTAGTGTCGCAATAGAAACCCTAAGGGCCACCAAGCAAAAATCTGTACTCTCTGGTCCTTTACAGAAAGGCCCAGTATCACAAACCACACAAAAAGAAATGTGTTAACGAACACAACTGTTCTATCCCTCAGGATCTGGCAGTTGGTTTGGAAGCGTGTGACCTGTATTCTTAAATAGACATTATTGTGACCAGCACCCCTCAGGTCTCAGGCACCAGATCTCCACATCTGCCTTGAGTCCTTGAAGCAGAAGGGACTTCTGGATGCCAGAAAGGTTTGGGACTTCTGCCACTGCTCACTCAGGCGGGTCTTAGGGCACGAAGAGAGTCTGAGCAGCATAAGTACTTGGAAAGCAGAAATGACAAATTAATTTGTTGAATCCTCTTCTCAAACAGTATAAATGTAGTAGATTCTTGTATAGAAAAGTATCAGTTCCCAATTCCTGGTTCTAGGTCTGGGGGTGCTCACGGGCTGGCACAGTACACAGGTGGCATGTGGCAACTGGGGAACATTTTGCAATATTAAACAACTCATGTTACTTTAAAAAATGTTATGGGTGGGACCTGGGCGCCCGGGCGAGGAGCGGAGCTGGGAAATGGCGTCCGGAGCGACCCGCTGGTTAGCACTGGCGCCCATTCGATGCAAGACTTTCTGGTACGGGCCGAGCTTGAGGAAAGGTGGCGGTGTCGTCGCCGTACGGGGCGGCTCAAGTCAGAGCCTGGTACTGTCGAGGTCAGTCATCGTTACCCGCAGCGGCGCCATTTTGCCCAAACCGGTGAAAGCCATGGAGGAAGAACAGAATGGAGAAAGCACAAACAAGAAATGGTGAAGCTCTCAGCATTTCCTCCTTCCCCATCAGCAGGGCCCAGGGAAAGCCCTCAGTCTCTTGAGTCCAGTGAGCCTCCTGAATGGTCTGTGACCATAGCCCAGATCCCTAGGCCTTGGGAGCTTTCCTGAGATGTGCTGTTCACTAGCACTGGGAAAACAAGCAATCAAATTATGAATAAACATAATAAACATCAAAAAAAAAAATGTTATGAAGGTCTCAGTATAACATGCATGAATTGTGACACATTTTTTTATGTTGGCAACTAGATGAATACTGAACAGTAGAATTGTGAATGGTGTTATTTTTATAAAATTATTTCACTTAAATAATTTTGATTGAAACAGTTGACATTGCCCATTCAGGCTGTTATACATCATGCCTTAGTCCAGGGAATTTATAAACAATAGAAATGTATTGCTTACAGTTCTGAAAGCTGGGAAGTCCAAGATCAAGGCACCAGCAGATTTGGTGTCTGCTGAGGGGCCTGTTCCTCACAGATGGCACCCTTTATGTGTCCGTACATGGTGTAAAGGGGTGGTCCCCGATCTTTTTGGCATCAGGGACTAGTTTCAAGGAAGACAGTTTTTTCTAGAGACCAGGGTGAGGGGATGGTTTGGGATGATTCAAGTGCATTACATTTACTGTGCACTTTATTTCTATTACGATTACATTGTAATATATAAGGAAGTAATTAATTATACAACTCACCATACTGCAGAAGCAGTGGGAGCCCTGAGCTTGTTTTCCTGCAACCAGACAGTCCCATCTAGGGGACGGGGAGACAGTGGCACCCGAAGCATGTTGCGTATGTCCAGTCTACTCCATAATCTCGTTTCCGTTGCTGTTACCGCAGAAAACCCTTGCCTCACAAAGATAGGATGTCAGAAATGGAAGCAGGCTTTTCAGTGATGATCTCACAGGAGTAGGCGCTCAGGTGGTTATGCGAGCGAGGGGAAGGAGCTGTAAATACAGATTAAGCTTTGCTCATTCACCCACTATTCACTTCCTGCTGTGCAGCCCAGTTCCTAACAAGCTGTAGACTGGCAGTGCTCCATGGCCCAAGGTTTGGGGACCCCCAGTGCAAAGACAAAAGGGACTCATGATAAGGTCCTTGATTCCATTATGGGAGCCCTTATGACCTAATCATCTCCAAGCAGCATAAATGTAGTTTATTTTATTTATTTTTTGTTTATTATTTATTTATTTCAAAGATGTGGGATACAAGACAGGTTTAGGTTCATGAGTGGTTTACGTAGAGGTGAAGTTTGGGCCTCCCATTGGCCCTCTCTTCCCCTAGTTTACGATCAGGTGACTCTTGCATATCTTCGAATACTTCTAATACCATCATCTTGGTGATTAGACTTCAATATGAATTTTGGAGAGTTACAAACATTCACACCATAGAAGATATTCGTGTATTATAATTTGTACTTTTTCTCTTAATTTTAAAGGTAAGTATGGATTTTTAGGAGAAAAATACACATTTGAAAGCATAAAGGTTTTATGTTTTTGGATTTCTTCACAGTTATTTTACTTACCTAATTTGATGAAATATATTCAAATTTTATATACATTGTATGTCTTTTTGTCTTATTTTTATAACCGTCTGAGCATTACTGTCAATGATAAAATCCAGATTTCCCATTTATTTATTTATTTATTTATTTTTGAGTTGGAGTCTCACTATCGCCCAGACTGGAGTGCGGTGGCCACTCCCGGCCACCGCAGCCTTGACCTACTGGGCTCCGGCAATCCTTTCGCCTCAGCCTTCCAAGTAGCTGGAACTACAGGCGCGCACTGCCACACCCAGCGAATTTTTTGATTTATTGTAGAGATGAGGTATCGCCTGCCCAGGCGGGTCTCGAATCTGCGGGCTCAGGCAATCCACTCACCTCGGCCTCCCAAACGCGCGGGATTACAGGCTGAGCCACCGAGCCCAGCTTGGGTTTCCCATTTATATCAGTAGTCATGCTTTTCAGTTTTGGCAGTAATAGAAATAATATGCCTATCTTTAGTTTTAAAAAAATTTAGACAACAGATGGGAAAGTGACTGAACAGAATCATTAATATGGTTATTTGTCCCCCATCCCCCAGCCTCCTAGTAGGGGCTCTCTGGTTGGAACAGTATTGATTTCTTTCTACCCCAATATCTCTGGGAATCTATTTCTCAGGGGGAAAAAAGCAGGAGGTGGTGGGGGAAGAAATAAATTCTCTTCTATTTTGGGACTCCACAATCCCATTGAACTTTGCTTTCCAGGTGGATTTGAGTCTCTCTTTCCAGTGACTCATTTACTAGGAGGCTGCTTCTCAGAGAGTCCAGTGGCTGCCAGCAGTTCCTTGACGCCCCTTCTGAGGCTGCCTTTCCCAGGAGAAGGAGGGAGGGCTATTGGGCTGGCCTGGAAACAAGGCAGCCTTTGTCCCCTTTATCCTGAAGACAGCTGCTTCCCCTGGAGCGTCATTAAGACAACCATTCAGGGAGCTCACCAAAAGCTGCTCCTCTTGTCGTGAAGAGATACACTCTTCCAAATCCACCCAAGGTACTTCTGGAAAACTGGCATGAGGGGTTTTTAGCTAACCAAGTGGGCTCCAGGGTGACAGCTCAGCTCTGATGCCCTGGGCTTGGGGGAGCTTCTCCCATACTTCAAGGAAATAATGTATTCATTTGTTGGCTCATTCGTTTATTTAACAACTATGGACTGCATGCCTACTGTGTGCCAGGCACTGTGCTAGGCATGAAACACAACTGTGAACATGATCAGTATTTTCCTGTGGTATATTAACAAATGCATGTGGTCTTTGTCTCTGGTTTTTGGCACAGGGCTCCTCAAACCCTTAGGTTTCCTGATAGGAGTATCTTTTGTTACTCACAAGAAGCCCCTTTCCATCACACTCAAGTTCATGCTAATGAAGTGACTTAGAGTGGTGCCACTAGCTAGCCTCTGGATGGGGATGGTCACCAAAAAGTCTGAGAGGTCAAAAGGTGGGAACTCTCAGGTCACCCACCAACCTCCCAGGAGGAAAGGAGGTGAGGGCTGGGGATTAAGCGCTAGAAAATCTCTTGAATGGTTAGATTCAAAGAGCTTCCAGGTAGGTGAATACACCCACGTGCTGAGAGAGCAACACACCCCAAGTCCATGGGACAAAGGCTCTGGTGCTTGGGGCTGTGCTTGACCTTGCCCTGTGAACTTCTTCACCCGGCTATTAGCTTGTATCCTTGATAATAAACCAGTGTTGGGACTCAGAAAACAATACTCCCAAGTGAAGGCCTCAGCAGCAGACCCAGAAGCAAACATTTTCCTCTGACCTTCTCCTGTCTCCTGTCTCTCCGTCCCATTCTCTCCCAAGACTAGCCATAGACACTATTATCCTTCTTCACCAAGGTGGGTCATAGACACCAGAATCCCTTTTCCCCAAAGTCAGCCTTGAAACCTGAAATATTCCCCTTTCTTTCCACCTTCCTGTATAAAACCTAGACACAAATAAATTATCTGACCTACTTTGTTTGACTGTAGATCATAAGACCCCCATTCCAAAGGACCCTGCCCAACACCCAGAGGGAAGAAATGCTGCCCAGAGAGGTCAAGAAGAATCTAGACAAACAGGCCTTGCTGGGTTTTCCCATTCAGTCTTTTAGCATTAGGTCATACTCTTTTTGTCCAATCATATTTCTTTCTTTTTTTTTTTTTTGTATTTTAAAACAATGATAATATTCTTTCTTAAGCAGCATTCCTCTCTTCCCTAATAGCTACAATATGATACAGTATGCAACAGCTCACTTAAAAGTGCTAAAATCAGAGGGTAAAGAATGCCATAAGCCATCCCTCTTAACAGTTCCTACTATACAATGCCTTTCTGGCACTTGATAAATCAAGCATTCTTGTAGTATTACATTCAACAGAAACATCTCTTGTATTGGGTTTAAGATCCTTGTCCCTCCAGTTCCAATGCTGTGACATCTGACTCTTCATCATTGTAAATATTTTCAGCCATTTGCCATATCTGCATGATGCTATCCTCAGACACTGAGCAAATGACCCAAGGCTCATTGGGGTTCCAGTTAAAATCTGAAATCTTGGCAGTATGTCCTCCATGAATAAACAGGAGTTCTGGAAGCCCATCTTCTGCATCTTCTGCTGATTGTTCTCCAATTTTACTTAAATCCCACACATTCAGGCAGCAATCAGTACCACTTGAAACCAGAATAGTTTTGCTATGTGGAGACCAGTGGACCTGGAAAATTTCATCTTTATGAGATTCAAAGGTATGGAGTTTTAATTTCAAGTTACACAGATCCCATAAAGCTACAGTCTTATCCACAGAGCCAGTGGCTAGAATGAACTCACTGTAGGGATTGAAGGAGAGACAGTTGACCTCAGCAGTATGAGCATGCACCAAATGGCTCAGCTTGGAGGTGGTGTTAGACCTGGTGTCCCATATTTTAAGTTTCTGATCATCAGCAACAGATCCAAACAATGACTCATGCAGCAGATGCCAGGCCACATCCTCTGCAACAGCTGAGTGGCCGATAAAGGTTGCTTTTGCATCCACAATTTTGTCTTCTTTGGTCCTGCATTTATATCCCACAGATAGACAGTGTGGTCATCGAATGCACTTAGGAGATGTCCACTTAAATTAGAATTCCAGGAAAGGCCACAGCCCTCCTTTTGGTGACCTCTTAACCTAAGATCAGGATTACATTCTTCACTTGGGTCTGGTTTGGCGGGTTGTTTTGTATAGTCAAGAACCAACATGTCAGAAGATGGTGTTTTTGTAGCAATGATATGAGGATTCTGTGGCATGTAATGAGCATGGTTTACCTCTCCCTCATGATTAATTTTAATTTCACATTCCATTTTTCCTGTTACAGAACCAAAGCCCCCAAATTCCCCCTTGTCACTGTCACAATGGGAAGCATCAAACTGTGCATCATCATTGGGAACATGTACTCCAGCAACCACCAGATGACTCTGCTCATCAGACGTATGAGTCCCTAGCTCTAGCCAATGAAGGGCATAATCCTTTCCTTCCGGTTTAGTCACCTCAGGAAGCCACTGAATGGTAAGATGGGGCCACTGAAGATCATGGTCATAATCAGGTCATACAGAAACGGTGTATTTTTCTCCCAGATTTTATATTCTTCATCAATGACACACTATTCCATAGTATCTTCAAACATCTCTTTCCTCGCCATCTTGCATCAGGTTGTTCACCCCTCGCTGCCTCCTCAGACTCCCCTCACTAGCCAAGAGCAGCGCGAACACTGGTGTTTCTGCCTTTTGCAGTAGCATCCTACACTACTAGCTCTCAAAGCTTGAGCTCTGTCTTGTTGACTGTTTGCTACCCAAACGCCTTGTCCTTCTTTTCTGCGCTCACGGATACTGAGGTCTGAAGCTCTCTTCTCTCTCCCCAATCATATTTCTACATGACTGTCCATACTTTGTTGAACCAAGCATAAAAATGGACAATTTCCCCTTTATCTTTGGGTCTTCATTCTGAAGGCTCCCGTATCACATAAAACTATGATCACATAAATTTGCGTGCCTTTTCTCCTATTACTCTGCCTGTTGTCAGTGATTTTCAGCAAACCTTCAGAGAGCAAAGGGGAAGTTTCCGCTTGACCCTGACACCAGCAAATCTAAGTAAAGTGTTTTTCTGAGTCCTGTGAGACATTCTAGCTATTATCAAACAGGAGAAGGAGGTTGTGGGAACCCCCAATTTATAGCTGGTCAGTCAGAAAAGCGGGTGGCGCAGGCCTTGAGATTTACATCTGAGGTGGGGGTAGTCTTGTGGGACTGAGCCCCTAACCTGGGAGGTCTGCGCTAATTCTGGGTAGTGTCAGAATTGAATTGAATTGAATTGTAAGGCACCCAGCTGGTGCTGGCAAGTTGGTTGGCATCAAAAACCATCCCAGAGTTCCCTCACTCCAGTGAGCTTACAGTGTAGTAAGGAAGGTAGATAATAAAAACAAGTAGACCAGGCATGGTGGCTCAGTCTGTAATCCCAGCACTTTGGGAGGCTGAAGTGAGAGGACTACCTGAGCCCGGGGGTTCAAGACCAGCATGGGTAACTTGATGAGACCTCGACTCTATAAAAATCACAGAAAAACCTAGCCGGGCATGGTGGTGTGCGTCTGTAGTTCCAGCTAGTTGGAAGGCTGAGGCGGAAGGATCACCTAAGCTCAGCAGGTTGAGACTGCAGTGGCTGTGAGCATGCCACTGCACTCTAGCCTGGGTTACAAGAGTGAGACTCCCACAACAACAACAACAAAACAAATCATTGCAATAAGGCGACAAATTTGAAGAGAGGAGAGTCTGAGGTGTTATAGCAGGAGCACCTGCCCTAACAGGAGATAGGAAAGGTGTCCCTGAGGAAGAGACATTCAAGGTGAGATCCAAAGCATACATAGAAGAGACCAGCAAAGAGGGCAGGAAAAGAGTTCCAGAGAGAGGGAAGAGCCTGGGCCTGAGGGAGGGTAGAGTGAGCCTGAATTTGAGTGACACCTATGCCAGGTAAGACAAACACTAGAAGAATCCTATTCAGGATGGTACTGATCTATCTTCATTCATTCATTCAGCAAATGTGAAGGAGGCACTTCCTGTGTGCCTTGTGCTGGGTGAGGAGCTGAGAGCACAAAGTGGAATCAGGCATAGACCTTACACTGGTGAAGACTATGGTCTGTCCATGAAGAGAAGCATTGTGGATGCATGCTTTATCTGCTCACTATGTCTTTATGGGAACAGCCCTGCTTGCAGTCACTGTGGTTCCATTGGAGCTAATGTCACCTTTCTTGGCTCCAAGGAGGAGCATGTGACCGGGCCTGGCTGATCAGAGTACCCTATCTCTTTGGTCATGGTGATTGGTTCAGAAATGGTCATGTGACCTGAGTTCAGCCATTTAAATCCTTTTCCAGGACTTTTGATGGAACTAAAGTGGAAAACACTCTCACCATCTGAGACAGCAGGATGCAAGCAGGGTAAGACTAGAGATACTGAGAGCTGCCATTGCTGCCTCATGGGGAAAGCTTGCCTGAAATCAGAGTTAACACAGAGGATCTAAGACCTGGGGAGACAGAGTCAGAGCGAGAATGAGATTGCATTGTTTGAGCCACTGAGTCCAGCTGCGCCTCCTCCTGGATGGTTTGTTACATGAACCAACAAACTCACTTGTTCTTTTAATTTGATGGAAGTTGGAGTTTTCTTGATTTATCAGCAAGAGTTCTGTTTAAAGTAGGCAGACAGACCACTCACTTCACAAAAATATGATGCTTCCATTGCAATTGAGGAGGACAGGATGGCAAGAGAGTATGATGGGTAAGTGGCTGGTGCAGCTGATGTTGTTGGTGTCCTGCTCATGTCCTCTCAGCCCCACCCTGGACATCCCCTGTGCATCAGAGGGGTTTCCACAAGCATTGTCAGCTTCCTATCTCAAGCTCCTGTTTAGGTGTGTGCCCAGCCCAAGCACAGGACAGGCTAAAAGTGCTGAGGGGTCAGGACTCAGAGACCAACCTTTAAAACATGAGGGACAGCATTTAGTATATTAGCATCCCTGCTCCCTCACCCCTGGGTGGAACAATTCTGAGGTATGTTTCTCTCAGCCCTTCAGAAGGTCTCTGGCAGGTTCAGCCCTGTTGTCCACAAAGTCACCCTTTACTGGCATTCCTCATTCTCACTCCCCCACTTTCTCACCTGGGCTCCCTGTGATCACTACCAAGTAGACCATTTGCACCCAAATCCTTATCTCCAGGGTCTATTTCTGGAGAACCCAAACTCAGACAGAAAGGCTCTGAAAGCAGACCATACAGGCTTGGATACCAGTGCTGATGCTTCCTGTGTGACTTTGGACAATTGATTTAATCTTGTGTCTCAGTTTCCTCCCTCTGTAAAAAGAAGTTAATAATTTCACCAATCTTATAAAATTGTTTGAATTTTAAATGAGATACTATACACAAAGTGCTGGCAATAATATAAGTGCCCATCAAATATTGGCTATTGTTCTTTTTATCCTTCTTCTTATTCTTATAATTGAATGTTACCTAAGCATGACCAGAATGCCTGGGAAATTTTGGAAGAGGTGACACTTGAGCTGAATAGAAAGGACCAGCAACAGGAACTCACTTCTCTGTCTAAACTGATCATTATAGAAAATTGTAGCCTTTCTTTTTTCTTTCTTCCTTTCTTTGTGTTTTGAGTCAGGGTCTCACTCTGTCACACAGACTGGAGTATAGTGGCATGATCACAACAATCACAGTTCATGGCAGCCTTGCCCTCCTGGGCTCAGTCGATCCTCCCACCTCAGCTTCCCAAGTATCTGGGACTACAGGTGTACACCACCACATCTGACTAATTTTTAAATTTTTTGTAGAGGTGAGGTCTCACTATATTGCCCAGACTGGTCTCAAACTCCTGGGCTCAAGCAATCTACCTGCCTTGGCCTCCCAAAGTGCTGGGATTGCAGATATGAGCCACCACAACTGGCCAAGATTATATCCTTTCTAAAGAATCTGAAAATACTTTCTTTGGATACAAGATTTTTAAAATATCACTTTTTGTTTCGTAGAAACAAAGAAGAATGAGAATAACTGAAAGGATATGCCCCCTCTTCCACATTTTTCCTCTGGATGGCAAAAAAAGATTCCTGCAAGAGTTAGATTGTCCAAACATGGTGTGTGTGTGTGTGTGTGTGTGTGTGTGTGTGTGTGTGTGTGTGTGTAGTTTTCTCCCAAGAAAGGAAAGGAACCTTAAGCTTATAGTTCCAAGAAGGGATGTTCTGTCTTCCTTTTGAGTCCATGAGGTTAATGTAGGACCTCAGAGAGACATGTGCATTGTGCACTTTAGAGGTTGGAGCCCAGACACCAGGGTTTCCAGTTTGACAACGATCCCTGGGCCTGAGATCGGCTTGGAAGTCTTCATGGGCTTGGGCAAGAGTGTGACATTGGAGAGTCATGCAGGCTGAAGACCGTCAAGCCCTTTCCAGGATGGTTTGCTTCATCTGCTGACCCTTCATGGTGGCTTGTTTTATTACAAGTTTTGTAATCTTACTCCAGTGGGATTTTATCCGCATGGTGTGGGTCGAAGATGTGTCCTTCCAGGGTGGTCCTGCCTTGATTTGGCCTGATTTATCAGGGGGTATCTTGGGCTTAGAACCAAATTTTGTGTTCTTTTCTTTTACTATACCTTGCTGCCAGGGACCAGCTGCAGCCGGGTTCAGGGTACCCCAAAGGTGGAGACGGCGTTAGCAATTGGGGGGAAGAAGAGAAAGAGAGAGAGAGAGAAAGAAAGAGACTGGACTCCGGTCTAGTGCAGAAGTGATGTGTGTTATTGGGAATTACAACGGGTCTTTTATACACAAAGTCAGATGTGGGAGGGGTGTCCCCCACCCACCAGAAACCTTAATCCATGAAAACTTAATCAATGATTGCCTTTAAACCCTTTTCATATGATAATCTTAAAATCCCATAACAAAGGATAACCTAATCTGTGACTGACATATTCTATAAACCTTTTCATCCTAAACTGATCGATTTATGCCAAGTTAAACAATTCTATAGAAGCTTAAGTATTTACTTTAAAAATGAAAGTGGCCCATGCCAGAATGTTTGGAATGTGGCCCAGTCCAAAGTTCACAGTGGGCTACCTGCACATAACCCAGCCGCATTCTTTCAACAAAATGGCTGTCTTCTAAAACTATATTCTACAATTTACACCTTCAATAAATCATAAGATCATGACCCAGAAGCCTGTGACCAATACTAAGGCTCTTAGATGTGACACGAGTTTGAATTATAAGTTGTGTGAAAGCCAAAACTGCAGTTTGCGGAAGAATGGGAGCAATGAGCTTCTAAAGTTAGCTTGTGTTCGTCCCAGTCTCAGAGTTTTTATGTTTTGAGCTCACAGGAGCTTAATCTGGTTGTGCTGAGTAGA